ATGGGCAAATGGGATGACAGTTCTGTTCACATGGAGGACAAACTCCAACACAGACTGATTAGACTGAAAGGTCTTCTTTTATGATATAATTTTGTTGTAACTTTCTTCTGTTCAGTATTTTTCAACATAAGGTACTCCCCTTAAATGAAGAAGGGTCTAGGCCCGAAATGTCAGCCTTCCTGCTCCTCTAATGCTGCTTGGCCTGCTGTGTTCATCCAGCTCTACACCTTGCTACCCCTTAAATGTAGTTCAGGTTAAAGTCAAGATGCAGAGATTATCCTTAGTTTTACGCATTGAGACCTGCCACTGATATCCGTATTCTGCAGGGATCTGCTCAGTGAACCGTGAGTATGATACACATCAGCAAATAATTCCATTGGATGCAGCACTGCCTGGGTAACATGCAAGCCAAAAACAATATTGGGAATGGGGTCTCTGCATCCAAGGATAAATTAATTTCATTACCTTATACCAGGTTAGAGTGATTTCTTTTGGAGTGCTTCACACTGAAACTCTCCCTCCTTCCTTCTTAGCAAAGACTATTCTAACTCCTACCCTTGTTACTATCCTTCCCAAAGAAGCTGTTGATCCTTTCGCTGATTGATTTTCCAACTTTGTCTTTTCACCTGATTATCATCTCTGTCATTTGGAGGTAGTTTAGGAACAGTTGCCAAAGAACCAGAATATTCTGTCTTTGAAATAAAACATAAGCGATGGTCTGGTGTTATTAAAACTAGATATTGTTCTGGAGACCCAGGTAATCATCTGGGTTTGAATGCTGTCACAGCAGATGGTGGAATTTGAATTCAATAAAAATGTGGAATTAAAAGTCTAATGATGACCACCAATCCATTGTCAGTTGTCAGGGAAAAACCCATCTGGCTCACTAATGACTTTTAGGGAAGGAAATCCGCTGTCCTAACCTGGTCTGGCCCATCTGTGACTCCATAGCAATGTGGTTGATTCTCAACTGCCCTCTGAGCAACGAATGCTGGCTTAGCCAGTGGTGCCTTCATCCTGTAAATGAATAATAAAAAGAAACAGAGAGTGATTTTATTGACTGTTTATTCTTTCATGAAATGTGGGCATCACTGGCAAAGTCAGCATTTGTTTCCTGCCCCCAGTTACCCTTGAACTGAGTGGCCTCCAAGACTATTTCAGAGGGCATTTTAAGAATCTGGAGTGACAATGTAAGCCAGACCAGGTATGGATGGGCAGATTCACAGATAGCTTTTTACATTGATTAATGATAATTTCATGGTCACTGAGACAAGCTTTATTTTCCAGATTGATTAATTCAGTTCAAATTCTGGTGAGATTTGAACCCATGTCCTTAGAGCATTAGCCTCAGCCTCTGGATTACTAGTGACATTACAACTACAGCACCACCTCCTCTGTGTGCACATTTTAAAATTTTAAATCAACCTGTTTAGACATGTTGTTACACACCTCAAATGCAGGTGGGATTTAAACTGGGATACTATCAGTTCACCATAAAGCCCTGTTTTACGCTGGTCCTCCAATAGTCATGAGGACGACAGAAAATTATCTCGGGGTTTAACTTTTTTGTCAGAACCTTGGTCCAATATGAAAGTGCCATGGAGTCAGCAATTAAACATAACCGTGTGCCTACAGTATGGAAGTGGTGCATTCAGACACAGGATTAATGCTTCAAAGTGTAATAGAATACCTGCTCAGTGTTCTGGTTTGATTCAGATATAATCTGACATTGACAAAGGCCAGTCTAATTCCCTGAGAACAATCTGCCATTTTTCTAAAGTACTGCCCTTGCCCTAAATCTTTAGATCATACTTTTAACAAATTGTTCACCTGTTTCAAATTAGTAACAAGAAAACTATAACTGCAGGCGGCTAAATGGATTCAATCAGAGGACCATACCAAGAGCCAGTCTCTTCCATCTGTTCACTTAACTTAAGCCTTTAAGTGCAAAGCCAAATCAAATTGATGAGATGGTTATTTTAATTTCCTCCCCCTCCCCACATACTCCAGAGATTAATACTCTAATTATATGATATCATAGGATCTGGAAAGCTAAATTGATCTAGTTTGGGTTTCACTTGAGAAGAGGGATTGACCCTGGCTTCAGCCAACTTGTTGCCATGCTGAACACTGCAAGAGACACTGCCAGGTCATGGAGAATGCTGTGTACTGAGGTGGCTGAATTGAGTCTTTGAAGCAATTGGCTCAACTAAGTGAGGAATGTCATTGCAGGTGAATAGACAATGTCACATTTCATGTGTCCAGTGTCAGCAGCTGATGGTCCCCAGTCAGGTAAACCTGTTACTTATACAACACATTGAACAAAGTAAAACTTTGAAAGATACAGTACAGGATTGTTACCAAACAAAATTTGACATCTTCAAATTAGAGCATGTGACCACTGGCCTAGTCAAATAGATAGGTTTTTAAGCAGCATCTTAGAGGAGGAAAGAGAGGAAGTAAGATTTTGGGAATGAATTCCTGCGCTTCGGGCCTCTCTAGCTAATGACACAGCTGTCAATGGTAAAGCAAACACAGTGTGGTTTGCATGATGACGAAATTGGCAGAGTGCAGAGACCTTGGAGGGATGTAGGATTGAAGGGGAAATGGATGAGGCCATGAAGAGATTTAAAACCAGGATGAGAATTTTAAAATTTGAGGCATTGCTTAATCAGTAGCTAATGTAAAGTCTGAATTAGGTACAGAGTTAAAGATCTATCTGCAGTCCACGGGAAACATTTACAAGGCAAGTACTTTGCAGATTAGGGTACAGACTAAAGTTCCCTCTACATTCTCCCACCAAACACTCCCAGAACAGATACAGCATGAGGTTAGATCTAGAGTAAAGCTTCCTCTACACTGTCCCCCATCAAACACTCCCAGGACAGGGACAACATGGGGTTAGAGACAGAATAAAGCTGCCCCTATCTTTAAACTGAAAGTAAAGTTTTCTGTGCACTGTCACATCAAAACTCCCAGGACAAGTATAGTACAGGGTTAGATTAAAACTCTGTCAAAAATGTCACAAATTGTTCCTCAGATTAGGTATAAACCTGTTCCCATCACCAGCAAGCTAATCTCTAGTCTTGCTGAATAAGGTTTCCAATTTAGATTCAAAACCAGTGCTAGTCCCATCAGAACCAAACAGAAACCGTTTTTCAGTCTGGTTCCAGTGGTAAAAGGACTCTACCTATGCGCTGTCCTGCCTTGTCTGTTTGTAATTGAAAACTTTTGATGCAGTTATATTTTCAATGGTATATTACCTCTGTGGCAGAGTTATATGTAGATCGGTTGTCCCAGCAGCAAAATGTCTCTTTGACACTGACTGGTGGTTGCCTGCAGCTCAGAAATTTATAGAATTAGCAAATGCCGGGACAAAGCCCAATAAATTCTTGTGACTTAATCTCAGCAAACTGAAAGAAACTATCAGTCGATAAGCGTTGTTCAGGGTTGCATTTCAGCTCCTACATTCATTGACCTGAATTACAGGTGGCACTGCCAACTCGAGGAAGTTTCACAAGTAGAAGAGAAAATGTATGAAGCTCCACTCCTTGTACTTGTGCAGTTGGTATTTTGATGTATAATGTTGAGCCGTTATGTTTATTGTATGGTGAAGAAGGTAAACAGAATGTGACAGCTTGTGGGACTCTGGTCCTGGCATGATCTTAAATCGTCAGTATTTCAGAATAATGGAGGGTGATGGCTGGCTCTAACTAAACAGTCTTCATCCAGTTTATTACTCTTGCTGAAGGTGGGCCATCCAGTTTTATTACTCTTGCTGAAGGTGGGCCATCCAGCTTATTACTCTTGCTGAAGGTGGGCCATCCAGCTTATTACTCTTGCTGAAGGTGGGCCATCCAGTTTATTACTCATACTGAAGGTGGGCCATCCAGCTTATTACTCATACTGAAGGTGAGGGTTACAGGGTGTTCAACAGCAGCAAACCAAGGAAGGATATTGTTGCCACTAAACCGAGTACTTTTGGAAGGTTCCTATTTTCTGTCATCTCGCAATTGAAACTGCCTCCTCCACGCTTCCGGGCAGTACATTCCTTACCCTAACAACTCGCTTTGTGAAAAAGTTTGTTCCTGCATCATCCTTGCTTCGTTTGCTCATCACTTTAAATCTCTGCCCTCTGTTCCTTTCCCAAGTGAGAACAACTGCCCTCTATCTACTTTATCCAGCCCACTTGTGATCTTGAAAATCTCCATCAGATCTTCTTATCCACCTTCTGTCTGGGGACAACAGTCCCAACCTCTTCAGTCTATCCTTATAACTGAAGTTCTTCAACACTGGAACCACTTCTGTACTCTCTCCAATGCATTCATCTCTTTCCTATAGTGTTACACCCACAAATGTACACAGTACTCCAGCCAAAGTCTAATACATATATCGCACAAGTTCAACATTATCTCCTTGCACTTGTACTGTCTGCCCCTGTTAATAAAGCTGAGGATACTCTATGCTTTACTTACTGTTCTCTCTACCTGTCCTGCCACTTTCAATGATCTGTGTATATATATATACATATATATATATATATATACCCACGTTCCTCACTCCAGCACCCCTTTTCAAATTGTACCCCGTATTTTATGTTATCTTTCAACGTCCTTTTGTAGACCTGTATTGTCATCACAGTTTACAACGCCTCCAAATTTTGTATCATCTGCAAACTTTAAAATTGTTGCCTATACGTCAAAGAGCCGAAGAGTTGAGCACCGAAGATGAACAAAAGATCACTGCCTTGGCAATCCCTGCCTTGGGCACAAACAAGCTCTGTCGGCAGATGAAGTGAGCAGAGTCACTTCACCGAATGGTGCACGTCTGCACTCATTTTGCTTGTGTGGGTTGGTTGGATATATATTTTGAGAAGATTTCTCTGTGTCTGTGTAGTCTCAAATTGGGAGTGTTAATATAATGAAATTTTGGATAATTTCCTGCCTTTTCAAATACTGGATGTAGAATTGACAGGCTATCTGTGCTGTTTAATGTTTCAGTGATAAATGAGCTGGATGGTCTGGCTAAAGGCCAGGACACAGACTACCACGGTGGAAACCATGCCAAATTGGTGCAGGAGAGAGCCAAGAAAGCCATCGACTTCCTGGAGCAAAAGTTCGAATCCCGTGACTCATGTCTGCGGGCTCTCACCAGCAGAGGTAACGAACTGGAGTCAATTGCGTTCCGCAGTGAGGATACAACTGGGCAGCAGGTAATTACAGGAATGGAAATGTGACATAGCTCTCTCTCATCATGACTTCTTTCACAGTCCTCCCTACTATCTCATTCCACTCTGTGGGTTCAAGCCCTACCCCAGGACTTGAGCTAATAAGATAAACTAACTTGTCACTTTGGCTTTGAAGGAATTGAGGTACTGTTCCTTCAAATGAGATGTCAATCTGTCTGCCTTTTCTGGTGGTTCAGATGGAGGTTAAAGATCCTATCATATTATTCAAAGTAAAGTGAGGAGTTTTCCCAGTCTCCTGACTAATATAATACTCCAGTGCGGATGCAGTATAATGTGGCTAAATGTAAAGCTACACACCTCAGTCTGAAAAATCAGAAAGGAAAAGTATTATTTAAATGGTGATATTTTGGGAAGTGTGGATGTACAAAGGGGTCTGTGTGCTTCCTTGCACAACAATCAATGAAAATTGACAGGCAGATGCAGCAAGCGGTTAGGAAGACAGATGATATATTGGCCCACATTGCAAGAGGATTTGAGTTCAGAAGTAGGGATATCTTCCTGCAGTTAAACAAGGCCTTGATGAGATCAGACTTAGGGTATTACATGCAGTTGTGGTCTCCCTACTGAAGAAGGATATACTTGGCATGGAGGGAGAGCTGCAGAGGTTCACTAGACTGATACCAGGGATAGCAGGTCAGTCATATGAGGAGATCTTGGTTCAACTCGGCCTGCATTCGCTAACTTTAGAAGGATGAGAAGGGATCTGATTGAAACATGTAAAATTCTAACAGGATGGGACAGATTGGATGCGGGGGGATGTTTTCCTCTGACTGGGGAATCTAAAACCAGGGGATGCAATCACAGGATACCAGGTAGAACATTTAGGACTGAGATGAGGAAACAACTCTTCACTCAAAAGGTAATGAACCTGTGGAATTCTGTACCACTAAATCACTGAAAATTGTCAAGAAATGATAGACGATGCCTTTAAAACTGAAGAAAGATAAGAGATATGGAGAGGAAGCAGGAAAACGGCATTGAAGTAGAGGATCAGCCATAATCCTATTCAGTGGGGGAGCTCAAAGGGACGAATGGCCAATTCCTAATTTCTATGCTCTCACCCAACATCACCAAAGCAGTTAAACAGGCCATTCATCTTGTGTCGCTGTGCAGAAAACTACTACCTTGTTTGCCTAATATAATCCTCGATTAACAATCCCAAAAGCAGGCATTCAAATCCCACCTAAGCAAGGGTAAAACTGAATTCAATTGATAAGATCATCTTTGAGCAGGCAGATGGATATTATTGAATTGCAAATAAATTGAAACAGGAGTAGGCCATTCAGCCCCTTGAGTCTGTTCTACCTTTCGGTGAGATCGTGGCTGATCTGTGACCTAACTCCCTAATACCGGCCTTTGGCCCATATCCCCTAATACCTTTGCTTAACATAAATGTATCTATCTCTGATTCAACATTAACAACCGATCCAGCATTCACTGCCATTTGTGGAAGAGAATTCCAAACCTGTACCACTCTTAGTGCGTGGAGCTGCTTCCTAAAATCTCTCCTGAACAGTCTGGCCCTAATTCTCAGACTACACCCCTAGTTCTAGAATCCCCGGGGAGTGGGTATAGGGGGAAGCTTCTAGAAAGAATCATTTGGACAGAAATGAGTTACTTGTCTTAATTAAGTCAGTGTAGATTTATGAAGGGAAAATGATACTAAAATGACTAGCTGGAGGTTTTGAAGAGGTGACAACAGGGTTGATGAGGTTAATGCACTTGATGTGGTGTACGTTAACTTCCAAAAGACATTTCATAAAGTGTTGCAAGCAGACCTCTGAGGAAAGTTATAGTTTGTGGAGTAACAGTGACAATAACAACATGGATATGAAATTGGATGAGTGATAAGAAACACAGTAGCAGTTGATGGATGTTTTTGAGCTGGTGGAGGGTTTGTCTTGGAGTTCGCAAAGGTCAGTGTTCAGACCCTTACTTTCCCAGTTCGGTACTGGACCATGATGTACTCTGGACAGTTTCAGAATTTGTGAATGATCTGAAATGTGGAATCACTGTGAGTTTGGAGGGTTCAGTATAATTTAGAAGGGGACACAGGGTTTGGTTCAATGCTGAAAAGTGAGAAGTGATTCTTTCTATTGGGAGGAATGTGGAGAGATGGAACAAAATAAAGTGTTTAGCTCTAGAGGGGTTGCAGGAGCAGAGGAATCAAGGGGGATATTTAGAATAGTGATTGAAGTTGGCAGGACAGATTAAGAGCACAGTGAATAAAGCATCCAGAATCCTAGGCTTTATTATTAAGCGCATAGAGTACATATGTAAGGAGATTATGTTAAACTTGTACAAAATGCTGGTTTGGCCCCAACTGGAATATTGAATCCTGTCCTGGGCACCAGACGTTAGCCAGAATGTGAAGTTATTCTAGAGGTTCGAAGCATGATTCATGTTAACGTTTCAAGGGATGATGGACTTCAGTTCCATTGTTAGATTGGGGAACTGGGACTGTGGTTAGGATGGATACCTTGCTGATGTTTCCTGCTATGGGGGAGGATAAAACTAATGTACATAGACCAAGCAGTTCTTCCTTTTAAGATAGCAATCGGAGGAATATTTTCTCTGAGGGTCACTAAAGTGTGGAATTCTCTTCCACAGAGGGCAGGGCTGAGTTAGATTTTTTTTTTTTGTAGACATTGGGATCAAAGGTTATGATGGGGAACTGACAGGAAAATGGGTAACAATTGATCATCCACCATAATATTAAATGGTGGAGTCGGCTCAAAGTCTCCAAGGCTCACAGCTGTTCCTAAGTCCCATGTTTGTTTTGATGAAGAGAAGTTTGAGAGGCTATTTATGAGGTTTCAAAATCATGAGAGCCTATCAAATCTCCTCCCAAAATTCTCGAAGTATAGTTGAGAAAGAAGCTGTTTCCATTAGGGGAAGGATTTAAAGCAAGAAAACAAAGATTAAAGATAATTTGACAAAAGAAATAAAGGCGGCAAAAGGAGAAACATTTCATGTCATGAATGATTAGGATCTGGACTACACTAGCTGCGAATGTGGTGGAGACAGGTTCAGCCAAGGCATTCAAGAGGAATTGGATTATAATCCGAAAAGAGAGAATGTTCACGATTGTGGGAAAAATTGGGAGAGGCGACTAGGTGCAATACTCATTTGAAGAGCCAGCAGAGAGACACTGGGCCGAATAGCCACCTGCTATCTTGTAACCATTCTGTGGTCTTAAGGATCAAACTGGTTCACTAATGTAGCAAGATAAGGGAATCCCTGTTATCCCTCGGTGGTCTGGCCTCTACCTGAATCCAGTTGAGTCTTTATGGCTTCTGAGGTCACGTCACTGTGTTTGGAATCGGGCGATGAACGATAATTATCCCAGCAGAGCTCATCTTTCAATAACAACCTTTACTGCCTTCCAGACTCAACATTGAGTTAAAAAATCTCAAACCGTAAACTCTCTCAACCTGTTTTGTTTCCCTTTCTTAGCATATTTTGGGTTTTCTCTTATTTTCACTTTCAGACAACAGCATGCCTGGTTTAGGTACATCTGTTTTTTCTGTTGCCTCATTATCATTTCCTCTGGCCCTGTAAGGCTTTCTGTCATTCGTTCTCTCCTGTCTTCCACCCCATCACAGACCTTGCTTTTGGTAATGTCCCAGTCAGCCCTTGCACAAATCCATCACATCTCTAACTCCAGCATCGGCAATTCTTACTATCTCTAACTTTTCCAGTTCTGAGGAAGGGTTTTTGAGCTGAAACTCCTTCGCTTGGACAGTGCTGCTTGACCTGCATGGTATTTCTGCCACTTCCTATTTTTGCTTCAGATTTCTAGAGTCTGTAGTATTCTGCTTTTCAGGTTATCTCCAACCATGATGCTGGAAAACACAGACAATCTGGTCACCATGACCATCCTATACCACCCAGTAGGCTTTGAACTTAAAGCTAAGTGGATACAGCAGTTCACTATGCATCCTTTCCATATTTTTTCAGGAGCAAGTTAAGCTGTCATGCTTCAGGTCAAGAATCTGGCTTTAAATATTGGAAATTTTAGGTTACCATAAAAGTGGCAAAGGTGATGAAATGCCTCAGTATTTCCTTAAAACTGAAGCATTTACTCATATGTAGACAACTGGCTCCATCCTCAAGTTTTTGCTATCTGTTCTGATGCCCTCAGAGCCTGTGTGATCAAGTCTGGAGCAGTCTAATCCAGAAATGTTACCCTCCAGACATCAGATAATTTTTTTTTTAAGTGTATTTTGGTAAACTTTATGAATTTTTGTTTGTCAGGATTTGAGAGGAGTTTGATAGATTACTAATCCCTGTTAGGCAGCCACGTCCCAGCCTGTATCAAGTATGAGCAGGTTCTTGTAGAGTCACAGTCATATAGCACAGAAACAGACCCTTCGGTCCAACCAGCCCATGCTGGCCGTGTTCCCAAATTAAACTAGCCCCACCTACCTGTGCTTGGTGCTTATCCCTCCAAACATTTCGTTTTCATGAACTTATCCAAACGTCTTTTAAACCTTGTAACTGTACCTGCATCCACCACCTTCTCCGGCAGTTCATTCCACATACGAACCACTCTCTGATGGTTGCCTCTCATGTCCTTTTTAAATCTTTCTCCTCTCACCTTAAAAAATGCCCAAGTTTTGAACTCCCCACCCTAGGGGAAAGACACTCATCATTCACCTTATCAATATCCCTCATGATTTTATAAACCTCAAAAAGGTCACCCCTCAACCCCTACACACTAGTGAAAAAGGTCCCAGCCTTTCCAGTCTATTTTTATAACTCAAACCCTCCATTTCCAGCAACATGCTGGTAAATCTTTTCTGAACTCTCTTGAGTTTAATAATATCCTTCCTATAACAGTGTAACCAGAACTGCACACAGTACTCTAGAAGAGGCCTCACCAACGTCCCATACAACCTCAACATGATGTCCCAACTCCTACTTTCAAAGGTCTGAGCACTGAAGGCAAGCATTCCAAACAT